TATATTTGAAGGAAATTGTGCATTGAGCATAGTTTGATAAGTATTCATCAAACTGAGATACAGATTTTGCCTCGTGAATAGAAACGACAGTTGATTCCATTTATTTCATGACCAAGAAAGGGATATTCGGCAAGATGTTTTTGGTTGAATTCATATCCTTGCTTTTCTTAAACAGTTTCACCTGGCCAGGTGAGGTGGCTCACACCTGTTATCCCAGCACTTTGGGAGATCGAGGCAGCTGGATCAAGAGGTCAGGAGATTGAGACCATCCTGGCCGACATGGTGAAACCCCATCTGTACTAAAATACACAAAAACTAGCCGGGCTCGGTGGCACGCACCTGTAGTCTCAGCTGCTCAGGAGGCTGAGGCAGGGGAATCGCCTGAACCCGGGAGGTGGAGGTTGCGGTGAGTCGAGATAGTGCCACTGTACTCCAGCCTGGTGACAGAGCAAGGCTCCATTTCAAAAAAAAAATTTCACCTTGGTCTCTCTAAAGCTTTTGGCTATAACAGCATTGATTAATACAAGATGGTTTGAGGACCCAAAGGCTAAATATATTTGACTCTTTCTCTTTTCATTTTTTTGTTATTGATTCATATTGATGAACATGGATTATTTTTAAGTCCAATGTGCCATTCTTACTCACGCTTATAAGCAGACCTCTCCTTTTTCTGACATAACATTAATGCAGATATTCTCATGTCCACATCTAACTTTTTATTATCTACAATAGGGGCCACCAAACTTTATCTGTGATGGGCCACAGAGTAATTCTTTTAGTTTGCAGGCCATATGTTCTCTGTTGCAACTACTCAACTTGGCTATCAAAGTGAACAAAGCAATGATGGAGAAGAGTAAAGAAATGAGCATGACTGTATTCCAATAAAACACAGAGCAGGCTGGATTTGGCTCAAGGATGTAGATGGCTCATCCCTAATCTAGAATATACAAATTTGTTTACTAACATAAATTTTGTTTACTAACATAAATTACTAACATAAAAATCCAGAGATCCCTCTCTGGATTGTCATGAAGAGTTATTTTCTAGCATACAGTGGCAGATGGAGAAATTATAAAGCTTACGTGAGGTCTGAGATATAATTCATATGCAAAAACTGCATTTATTCAAAGTATACAGTTGATGAGTTTTAACAGAGCTTACATCCATAAGACAACCACCAATCAAAATACAGAGCATCTTCATCATCTCCAAAAGTGTCCTTGAGATCCTTTGCAGTCCATCTCTCCCTCCGGCTCTGGCCCTAGGTAAGCACTGATCTGATTTTTGTCTCCATAACTTTGTATGCGTTTTCTATATAAATGGAGTGAAACAGTATGTACTCTTTTGTGTCTGGTTTCTTTCATTCAGAATACCAAGTTTGAGACTCATCCATGTTATTGCATGTGTAAGTAGTCTGTTCCTTTTTATCACTGAGTAATATTTTGTTGTAGTATGGATGGATATATTGTGGTTTGTTTGTCTATTCACCAGCTGATGGACATTGGGTTGTTTCCAGTTTGGTTTTGATATGCTATCAACATTTGTGTACAAGTCTTTCTGTGGACATATATTTTAATTTCTCTTTAGAAAATTCTAGGAGTTAGAATTATTGGGTAATGTGTTACATGTATATTTAATTTTGTAAGAAGTTGCTGGTTGTCCAAAGTTGTTTATCATTTTATGTCTCATACGAGCACATGTGAGTTCTAGTATCTTCAGTTTTCAGTTGTCAGTCTTTTTTATTTTAGCCATTGTAATAGGTATGTAATCATTTCTCATTGTGACTTTTTAATTTCCTGATGACTAATGATTTTGAGGATCTTTTAATGTATGTATTGACATTTGTGTGTCTTCTTTTGTGAAGTGTTTGTCTGAATCTTTTTCTTTTTTAGTATGCTATTTATCTTATTGTTGAGTTTTAAGAGAGCTTTATATATACGAAATATGTCTGTCATATTGTATGTATTGCAAATATTTTCTCTCAATTTCTGTTGTGTATTTTTATTTTTTTTAGTAGTGACTTTCAAAGGGCAAAAGTTTTAAATTTCAGCAAGTCCAATTTATCAATTTTTTTCTTATATTTCTGTTTTTGTATCTTATCTTTGTTATCTTTGCCTATCTTCAAAGTTGTGAAGATTTTCTTCTATGTTCTCTCTAAAGAATTTAGAACTTTAACTTTTATGTAATGTTCATTATTTACTTAAATTAATTTTTGTGTATGGTATGACGTAAGGGTCGGGATTAATTCTTTTCTAAATAGTCATTTAATTGTTCTAACACCATTTGTCAAAATGACTGCCCCCCCACCCCCATTGAGTTTCCCTGGCACTTTTGTGGAAAAAAAAAAAAAAAGAAAGAAAGAAAAAATCAATTAACCACGTAAGTGTGGGTCTATTTTTTTCTCTGTTCTGTTACATTGATGTGTTTGTCTATTTTTTCTTAAACACCACAGTGTCTTTGTTGTTGTTCCTATATAGTGAATCTTGCAATAAAGTAGTATAAATCCTCCATTCCTTTTGCATTACTTTGAAAATTCTGGAAACTTTGTATTTCCACGCAAATTTTAGAACTAACTTGTCTATTTCTGCAACAACAAAAATATATGCTGAAATTTTGATTGGGATTGCTTTGAATTTATGGCTCAATTTGAGAAGAATTAACATCTTAATAATACTGGAGTCTTTCAGTCTATGAGCTGGCATATCTCTGCATTTCTTCAGGCCTTTTAAAATTTCCCCCAGCAATATTTGACATTTTCACTGCAAAGGTCTTATATATTTTATTAGTTTCCCAGGGCTGTTGTAACAAATTACTACAATATGGGTTGTTTAAAAACAACAGAAATTTATTCCTTAGTTTAAGAAGCCAAAAGTCCAAAATCAAAGTGTGGGCTGGGTTGATTCTTTCTGGAAGGTCTGAGGGAGAATCCATTCCATGCCTTTCTCCTAACTTCTGGGATTTCCAGCAATCCTTGACATTCCTCATCTTGTATACAGACACCTTACTACAATCTCTGCCTGTCTCTTCACATGTTCGCATGAGCTTCTCCTTCTGCGTTTCAGTGTCTCCTTTTCTGTCTCTTATAAGAACAGTATCATTAGATTTAGAACCCATCCTCATTCAAGCTAAGACTCTTAACTTAATTACATCTACGAAAACCTTTTACTGCAAAAAAAAAAAAAGGAAAAATCACATTCTAAGGTTCCAGAGAGACATATCTTTTGGGAGATTAGATGCAACCTACTACATTTATATTTTTAAAAATTTATTTCTAAGTATTTTCTATTTTATAATGATAAGTGGATTTTTTTTTAGTATTTTATTTCCCATTATTTCCTGCTAGTATTTAAAAATATAATTGACTTGTGTGTATTAATCCTGGATTTTGGTGTTTTATTAAATGCAGTTATTAGCTGTAGTCATTGTTGTGTAGATTCCTTTAAGATACTCTGGTTACATGAACAATTATGCTTACAAATAGAGTTTTACTTCATTTTCTATTTATGCTTTTTTCATTTTTCTTGCTTTATTACAATGACTAAGATAGCAAGAGCAATGCTGAATAGAAATGGTAAGAGTAGAGTAGGTGTCTTTGCTTTGTTCTCAGTCTTAGGGGAAAATCATATTATAGTTCACTATTAAGTATGATAATGGCAATTTTTTTTTATAGAATATCCTTTATCGGATTAAGAAAATTCCCCTGCTCCTAATATGCTAAGAGGTGGGCTTTTTATTTAAAAAATCATGAATAGGTGCTGAATTTTATCAAATAATTTTTCTTCATGTACTGAAATAATGATACACTTTTTCTCATTTATTTTATTGATATCATCAAGTACGTTGATTGATTTTTGAATAATCAAACCAAAATTACATTCTTGAAATAAACCCTAGTTGTTCAGGATGTGTTTTTCTTTTCCTTTTACTTTTTTTTTTTTTTTTTTTTTTTTGATACAGAGTTTTGCTCTGTCACCTAGGCTGGAGTGCAGTGGTGCAATCTCCAACCTCCACTTCCCAGGTTCAAGCGATTCTCCTGCCTCAGCCTCCTGAGTAGCTGGGACCACAGGTGTGTGCCACCATGCCTGGGTCATTTTGGTATTTTTAGTAGAGACAGGGTTTCACCATGTTGGCCAGGCTGGTCTTGGACTCCTGACCTGGTGATCCGCCTGCCTTGGCCTCCCAAAGTGCTGGAATTACAGGCGTGAGCCACCGCGCCCGGCCAGGATGTATTTTTTGTATGTTGTCAGATTTGATTAAAATTCTGTTAAGGATTTTCACCTCTAGGCTCCTGCAGAATATTGGTTTGTAATTGTTATATAATTTGTTTGCCCGATTTGGTAAAATAATAAGTTGCCAAGTATTCCCTGTTCCTCTATTTTTTGAAGAATTTTATAAGACTAGTGTCATTTTTTACTTGACCATTTTGATTCAAATCACCCATGATACCATTTGGAGCTAAAACTTTTTCTGTGGAAAGGTTAAGATAATGAATTGAATTACTCTAATAAATACAGTGCTATTTATGTTTTCTGTCATGTCTATGTCAGTTTTAGTAAGTTGTATTTTTCAATGAATTTGTCCATTTTATCTAAGTTACTAACCTACTTATTTTTGCATATCTAGCCTAGATATTTCCTCCTCTGTGAAATCTTGCCTGACACTTTCAACAAAAGTGATTTCTTATCCTTTGAGTCACTTCTTTACTTGGATCATTGGTTCTCTCCATCTTCTGTTGAAGTTTGTTTACAGTTCTCTTCCTGTGCTAAATTAAGGGCCCAGGTCAGGCGTAATGGCTCACACCTGTAATCCTAGCACTTTGGGAGGCCATGGCAGGTGGATCACCTGAGGTCAGGAGTTCAAGACCAGACTGGCCTACAGGGTGAAACCCGTCTCTACTAACAATACAGAAATTAGCTAGGTGTGGTGGTGGTGCCTGTAATCCCAGCTACTCAGGAGGCTGAGGCAGGAGAATTGCTTGAATCTGGGAGGTGGAGGTTCCAGTGTGCTGAGATCACATCACTGCACTCTAGCCTGGGCGACAGAGCAAGAGTCTGTCTCAAAAAAAAAAAAAAAAAAAAATTAAGGGCTCTGGAGTTCAATAATTGCATCTATGCATCTTTGAGTCTTTGCCACTTTGTATGGTGCCTGGCACATAATTATATTACCCCTTTTCCCAAATGTTTAAATAACCAAATTATTCCACTTACTACTGTTTAATGTATAGTGACAAAGCATGTTTCTAGCTTTTGCAGTAGATTATGAGTGTCTTTTACAAAAATGGCATGTAGTATTTATTGTTCATATTCCTTCTATGTCTCACATTTATAATAAATTTAAAAAACTGTTAGATTGAATAGATTTGCCAGATAGTACAGAAAATTACTATTTTACGAACTCAAAGAGGAGAAGCCAAGTAGAAATCTGAAAAGCATTCATCAATAAAGGGAGGAAAATAATATTGCAAAGTGCTTACTATGTGCCAGACCTTGTGATAAATAATTTATATTCCTTCCCTCATTAATCCCCAAAGTAATTAGGCAAAGAAGATATTATGGTCCCCATTTTATAAATAAAGAGTCTGATGTTCAGTAAGATTAAGTGCTCTGCCCCAGTTCACAGTTATTAAGCAGCAGATTCTGGTTTGAAATCTATGTTGAATTATCCCATTATCCACATATCCACATTCATTTCAGTTTTACTTTTATCCATTCAGTTTTCCACAAGACATTTGATGGAATTTCCCATATTACCTTTAAATTTTGCTAGAGTAGAACATTCTGTGTTCCCTCGAATTGAATGTTACAGGTCCTTCATAAATTAAGGAAAGTTCCAAAGTGTTCTCTGGATACTTGTTCTGCCTCTAGCACGAAATATACAGAAGTAGCAGAGAAGATCCAAACCAGCCTTCACTCTCAGAATAGGCTACATAACTCCCTCTCGTATTCCCACTGACGTCACTCTTTTGTCTACAGCCCTGGCCTTTTTTTAAAAAAAAAAATGGTATTGGATTTAAAAATCCAGTACCATTATGGTTATGGTTAATGGGGAGCATCATGTGCCTGAGTTCCTACTCAAATAATATAAGGGAAATCAAGAGACCAAGGCTATGATAACTCATGCAATCTTCATGGCTTGGTGGTAAGGAAGAGAATCCCTCCTTACAGTTGATCTTGCCTTTGTATATGTCACGTATTGATCCTAATTAGAAAGGTTTATAGGCTAATCCGTGAAAGACACAATCCTTCTCATTATACCATGATACAGGCCATGGGAAACACCAGATTGAATCTTACAGACTCTCTGCTGCTGCTAACTAAGAAGCTTCTACTTTTAGTGTCTTTTCTCTCTCAACACAAAAATACTCTGTACGTCACCCAGATTTGGGCTGCCCATGATTACCAGGCTTTTCCCAGTTAGAAATGTGACTCATGTTCCATTTTACCAATACATCTCAGGCAAAGAGCTAGCAAGGAAAGACAAGATCAACGTTTTTCTATAATTCCAGCCTATCAATTGAAACAAGATGTTTCTGAACTCTTCCCAATGTGAAGAACAAAAAGTAATAGCATTTTGTTTATTTATTTGTGTACAATACTGTGGTCAGGAACTTGCTGCTTCCCCAGGGAAATTGTTTGCAATGCATCACTGAGAAGAGGACTTCACAATTCCCACTGATCACTCCCTGTGGTCTGCCATGGCGAGGGTGATACTTTCATGTTTTATAAGCACCAGACAAGAGAGCTGGATCAATTCTCTCTCTCGATATTCCAGTCTCTGTTGGAACAACGCCCTTAGGCATCAGCAGCTCTGGGTTCTTTCTGAAAAACAAAGTAAGTACTCCTAGGTCTGTTCACAGTAAGAAACAAGAAGTCCAATACACATCCCTGCCTTTTACGCTTCAGAAATCAACATGGGGATCTTCCTCACTTTTAGGCAACGGATACAGCTTTGTTGTGGTCTGTGTGTCAAACTTATCGAGAAGAGGTCATTGTTGAGACTTACTGTTAATTAGCAATGCTTATGCATGCAAACCTTGGTCAGATGATGTTGTGTTTGGAGAGAAGAGAGAAGGGAATAGAACTGAATAAGTACATGACCCCTTGGAAGCTGTTTTCAGTTGAGGATTTTGGTGAATGGCCACTTGAAATCAAGGGAAATTCCATGAATAGCAGGAGTTGGGAAGAAAGGAAGAGGAGGAAGGATACCACCACTTTTTTCTTCCGGTCTAGCACTGTGCTTAGGCAAAGCATATTCCCTATGAGATCTACCTTATAGAAACGTGCTGAATAGAGGGAATGGAAGTTAAACTTTGGACTTTCTTACATGGTAGCTTCAAATTGTGGTGACTTTGTTGCATTTCGTCTGGATGCTATAGAGGGCCAGAAAATACATTTCTGTGAGATCCTAGAATCTGAGCGTGTGCTTGACACAGGATGGATAGAATGAGCCTCTGGCAGTTCCATTTATCCAGAGGCAAAAGCATGCCTGCCACTGGAGAGCTCTTTGGTTCCAACAAAGAACCTATGTTGCCTAAGGAAACAGTGCTTTCTCGCACAAGGTACAGTCTTGGCTCCTCTGCCATGAAGGGGAAGGTTCCTGGGCGTGTGCTTCAGAGACCTTCCTATTTAACCAGTATACAAATTGCATTGTTATGCAATTCCTCTGCGGAGGCCATATAGAAGGAGTGAGTTAGGACAGATACAGCAAGATATTAGGACAGATTTCCCCCATTATTCAGACTATACAACACAGAAGAAAACTTGATTTCAACAAGAAGACTCAATTTTTAACATGCTTTTCTACCTACTTTTACCCGTAATGTTTCTAAATTTCATTCAAATTGTGCAGAGAAACAATAAAATTTAAAAATAGGATAAACTGGCTAGTTAAAAGTAAATGGCATTTAATTAAAACTAAACTTGCAAATTCATGGGAAAAAAAGCCATGTGATTTTAAACCTTAGGACAGCATAGAGTCCTATGTCCTTTACAGTTTTAAGTATATTTCATTTCTACCTTGGAAGTAGGTATTTGTCATATTGTTAATAATTACTCTACTTAATTGTACACTCAGCATTTGGCATCAGAATAATCTTGTTTAGTCACAAGGTTTTCATTTTCTTTCTTCATTTTTTAAGCATGCTTCTGAGTGGTGGTTCACATAAGCTTTCAATTTTAAATAACACAATCCATTTATTTCACTAGGCATCTTTATTTGCTTAAAGTGAAGAATCAAAGATTGTGATTGTGTTGTAAATAAGTCTATCCTTTCTTTCCCTTTATTTAAAAAAACCTGTGGATGGTAAAAAAGGAAACTGAAAGAAGTAGAAATTCCAGTAATCTTTTATGAACTCAGTTATTAGAGTAAGTAGAACTAAATCTGCGGGGGGAAAGGAAAGGGAAATGGAAAAGGTGTTTTAGAGCTTTGACTTTAAGCCACTCCGGAGTCCTCTTCTCTGCTTTCTTTCCGCTACCCTGACCCATACCTACCCACAGTGAGAACTGAGCCTTCAGGGCTGCTCAGGAGCTGGGAGGAGGGAAAGTGAGGATCTGAGTTATTTTCCTCAGTGAGCTTACAAGCTTCAGGCGGAAAAGATCCTGCCTGTGGAACCTCTCTTTTGCATTTTTCAATTGCATTGGAGAAACTCCTAAGTTGCATCAGCGACCCTGAAGCCTTTAAAGTAAAGATTTTTCTGTATTTAAAAAAAAAGAAAGGAAAGAAAAAGAGAAAGATAAGGCAAAAAACTTAATCAAGCCTGGAATCTTTCGGGCTAGAAAAAACTGACAAGAAACGAACTTTCCTTATATTATGGTGTGCTGGAAACAGTGGAGGGACTGTTTGCCAAAATGTCTCAGCGGTTCTCAAAGATGGCTGGCCAAATCCTAAGAAAATACGCTTAGGTTTGTGTAGTTCTGAGTCCAGCATTGTGTATAAAGCACAGGTTTCAGTGTAAAGAAATCTGCTGTCTGGAAACCATGGGATGAATGTCATCCTCTCTTTTCTTTACCATATAGATATCCCACATGGAGATTCTGTTCTTTGAAGAAAATTTTGTTTTTAAAGTAAGACAAATATAATTAATACAGTCCTAAAGAAGAAAAACTCATCATTTTTATTTACATTTCCTTTTGCTTTTGCATTTAAGAGTTAAGACAACATTTCAGCAGAGAAATGTGGAGAAGGGTAAAGGGAAATCAATATAGTTATTCTGTGACTTTTCCCAGGAGGAAGCAGTGTTAATCGAGAATGGCTTGCTTGGCTATATATCAAGTCCGTGGAGAGAGCAGCAGTTGATTTTGAAACAGATTTCCCAGCTAGACTGGAAGAGATATAAATACATACTTATCTATCATATACATATAGGCATACATATACATATATACACATACATACGTACACATACATGTAGATACATACACATACATATATAACTTTTACAAGAATAGAGTCTACATGTGGTATATACACTATTATAAACATTTAAATATAAATTATGTGTATTATATATATGTGTGCATCTGTGTGTGATTTTAAAAGTTGATAAGAATGATTTCTTCAGATAATTGGTAACACCACACAAAACTCTTCTAATAATATTTCATATATATTCATCTGGGACCATTTTACACTTTATAAGTTTCTCTCAAAAATTTTTTGATTACTAGAGAAGGAAATTAATATGCAAGAGCCTAAAGTGACAGACAATGGAATGGAAACCAGATTTCTTGACCCAAGGCCAGTGAAAGCATGTTGACCACAGGAAATCTTCTAAGGAGTCTCTCTGGGTCATTCCTGCAGTTACTTTCTCTAACAACAAACATTACAGAAATTTGGAGCAGCTCTGATTGCAGCAGAGATCATGAGAGTGAAGCTGGCCTTGGGGTTGCCCAGTTTTATTGGGGTGTGGCACCATGCTCCTTGGAAGCAGTGGTGATTTCTTTGTTCAGACAACATAATTGGGTGGGAAGTTTGCTTCATCATCACAGTATGATCTTGAATGAGTTATCTGTCTTTTCTAGGCTTCGGTTCTATAAAATGGGATAAATTATTCTTGTTCCTTCACAACATCATACTTTCTTGTTGCCCAAAAACCTTGTCAAATCTTCTTTGTTCCATTAAAGCATCAGGAGATGTATAGATAGCTAATTGGGAATCCCCTTTTCATGACCCAATCTGCTATGATTAATTTCACCATGCTGTGACTCTTCATATTTCTCTTCTCTCATTGTGTATATTCAGACTCGATTTTTTTTCAACATCAGCTAAGATGCTCTATTATTTTCTAAATGCAAATTCCATCTAAATCCTAGCTGTTAAGAAAATACTCTTGTAAGAGAATGGAATCTAGACAGAGAGAGAGGAACTATGCAACTCTAGAATTTCCCTGGAGGGAACTTGAGAGTTCATCTAGTGTAATCCTCTCATTTTATAGTTGAGGGAGCTTAGGATCTGAGAGGTGAAATGTCTTGTCCAAGGTCACTGTGACAAAGTTAAGTGGAGAACCCATGTCTCTTAACTTTCAGTTCTATATTCCTTCCAATGGGTCATGTGTCTTGGGACTACTATAACCAGCAATAGAAAATGAAGTTGAAGTAAGCAGACCAGACGAGGATACGTCAGCCTTTGGTTTTCCCCAGGGCCAGATTCCAACTCTGTGTGCATAACTCAGTGGCAGGACTTTAGCATCTTCATGAAGGATGGAAGATTCATGCCGAAGACTCTTCTTTGCCGCTTCCTGGCCCATAAGACCCAGCCCAGAATCTGGATCTAATTGAGCTCTCACTTTTCCTTGTTTATTTTGGACATTATTGTGCTTGCACTTCATCTTATAGCTCTTAAATTTTATCTTCACATCGACTTAACTCATTTTATATTCCACATTTACTGAGAGCTTACTGTGTGCCGGTCATTGATAATGGTCTACGGATACAGGGAGATATATCTCTTCGTGTCTTAATTACGGTCATAGTGCAACATGTCCTGTGCGTGATATGGTTACAGTGCTGAGGGCATGCTGAGGAAGGGGAGACTGAGATCACCAAAAGGAGACAAAGAAGACTGAGCCAATTGTGTGATAATTCTTCTGCTTTTACTCCTCTTTCCTCTTTCTTATCAGGGCAGAGTTCATTTTATGCACTGGTGTTTTCTAGGGTAATCTCTCTCTGGTTTTAACAGAAGAGAAATAACATGTAGGAGTCTTCCCTCATTTCCATGCCCACCCCCCGTCTTTAGCTACCTCACCAGTTCTTCATGAATTTCCTGAACAAGGCTAATTTACCAGTACTTCGGATAGTTCTTACTGCACTATGGGAAGCAAGGCATCAGGGCTCAGAGGTATATGCATATGTGTAGATTAATTGGGGTGAACATGCTGGTCATCAGTTATTTCTTCCCCTAGTTTCGTTCTCCAATCTGTTTTATCTGTTTACTTTGTTTTTTAAAATGCATTAAGAGACAGACATGATGATGCTTGGAGACCGAGGCAGGAGGACCACTTGAGTCCAGAAGTTCAAGGCTGCAGTGAGCTGTGATCACACCACTGCACTCAAATCTGGGCAGAGTGAGACCTCATTTCTAAAAGGAATAAAAATAACATGAAAAAGACATTGACAGGTAGACTCCTAACTATTTATTAGAAGCACCCAAATCACTGTTCACACTCTAAACAGAATCTAAACACCAGCCAGATTTTTGTTTTATTTTCAAAGTATGTTTCCTCCTTTCTTACCTTTGAACATTTCTTACTTTTCCATAAATAAGATGTGGATTTTGGGTAATTTAACTATGACAGGAAAGGAAAATCTCATCAATTAAAGATTCCTTGTCTGTATTTAATCTGTTGATTGGCTTGTGCTCCATAATGCTACAACCTAAACTATATTAAGTTTCCAGAAGAGTACAGAATAAACAATCATTTGTAAAGCAACTATTACGTGGCAGACATAGTGGTAGGCATGAATAGAATGAGTGGAATCAAAATGAACACAGGTCCTCATTCAGTACATATAAGTATCATGCAGAGTTAAGCATATAGACCAATGAGCCCATAAATTAGACAGTCCAAAACTTGTCTAGGTAGTCATAATATCACAGTGAATGTTAGAAGGCTTGGCTGGGTGCAGTGGTTCACACTTGTAATCCCAGCACTTTAGGAGGCCAAGACTGTAGGATGGTTTGAGGCCAGCCTAGGCAAAGTAGTGAGACCCCCACCTCTACAAAAGTAAAAACGTTTGCTGAGCATGGTGGCAAATGCCTATAGTTACAGCTACTTGCCTGGCTGAGGCAGGAGTATCGTGTGAGCCAGGGAGTTTGAGGCTGCAGTGAGCCATGATCATGCCACTGCATTCTAACCTGGATAACAGAACAAGATTCTAATTTAAAATAAAAATTAAGACAAAATGAAAAATATTTACCTACCTCCCCCAGATTTTGGAGTGCAGGCTGGTTGCAAACTATAGTGGTTTTGCTCAGTGCTGGCCTGGATTGGAAGGGTGCAATGGACTTTCATAAAGGGGAAAGCAGCAGACCCCAGAAAGTAAGCCTGGTCCCTTCGACACAGTTCCTGTGGTATTCATGTCACTGCTATTTGTGGCATGGAGAGACTCCTAGAGAAGCGTAGAATGTGCTGAATTTAAAGTCTCTGAGGTAGCAGTTTCCACCTTTAAAATATTTCTTGGCTTCTCTCCAGGGTGTCCCCTACTCATCACTCTCTGTTTTAATCGCAGCAGGAATTCTGATACTGCCGCTGCGCCTTGAACCCAAAAATATGTCTCAATATATGTTCCTGTATTCCTTTAATTTTATTTCTGCACACTCAGCACTTTCGACACACTGATCTATTTGACAAATGCTCAAGTGAACTTAATCGCATCTTGTTGAAACTCTTCCTTACTGTGCTGTCATCAGTTAATAATGGGGGAACCAAGATGCACAGGGTATGATTATTATTAACGACACCTCAGATTTACACAAACCTACTCTTTGAGTGAATTCGAGGCACTTCATACATATTAGCTCGTTTTTCCTCACAACAGCTAGACTGAATGAAAGACCTAGATTCTATTCTTTGGTGCTATATCAACCTTCTTAGGAAAAGTCTTTAGTCATTAATTGCCTCAGTTCCCAACCATGAAACAGGAATCATGATATGAAAATATTTGCTTCTCCCTCTCCTTATCCTAAACCTTTAGAATCTTAGTCGCTAAAAATAAATGTAAAAATCTGAAGTCTGAAAGTGAAGAAGTGTGTCTTGACTTTTTGAATATTAATAAAAACTTTTTATTAATTTATTAATAAATAATTATTTGTCAACAAAGAAATCACCATTGCTTCCAATGAGCATGGTGCCACAGCTGAATAAAACTGGGCAACCCCGGGGCCAACTTCACTCTCCTGATCTCTGCTGCAGTCAGACCTGCTCAAATTATGAGAGGTGATATTGGGAGTTTGACTGGAAACCCTGAAATTTGAATTTGTAGGTTTGGTGCAAAACTAACTGTGGTTTTTGCCATTCAAGTTTATGGTAGAAACTACAGTAACTTTTGCACCAACCTAATACAATCTAATTCTACTTAGTGGTGAGTCATTGCCCTATCTACTTCTTTGCCTATGTTTTGGAAAATACTTAGAGATCCAGAGGTGGTGAGTACTACAAAAGGGACCCTATCTTCTAAAGAGCATTAATGTGGTCGGCAAAGATAGCCCTAGGAACCAAGGCATCAATAAGACTCAATGTG